CTGTTTTAAAAGTAGGGTAATCATCAGAAGAACCCAAGTAGAGGACGCATACGCAGTTACTTGTTTGGTTGATGTAATCCTTAGGTGTGTAATGTATAATTTCCTTTTCATTATTTTTTTCATTTTCATTCAAATTTGTAGTTGAAATAACTACATGACCTTTTCATTATATCTGATAAATTAGCGTTTATGAGCGCAGCGCTGCTTTGTTTACAGTCGTTACCGGGGAAACCGCTGTATTTCTGACCTTCCAATAGCGCTTCCTGCTGGCAGAGAATCAATGTGCATTTTCAATAATCCCGTCTGCAGTTTTTGTTCAGACCAATGTGAAAATCCACCCATATAACCCTGTTTTAAATTAATATCATAATTTATACTTTAAAAAATTGTTTAAAGGCTCAATTGTGAGGTTTATCATTTTATAATTTATTTTGTTTTTGTGAAAACTGTAAATCAATTGCTATTTCGTGGACTACAACATGAAAGAAAGCCATTATAACATGTACATGAAAAATGTAGAAACATTGGACACAACTGTGGGGCACCATTATGCAGCAGCAAGCATCACAACACAAAAGAAACCTCAAGGCTAAATTTGTAAATGTGTGCAAATACATAGGGCCCCATTCATATATTTTGCCTGGGACCCCCAAATCACTAAATCCGCCCCTGGTAATCATAGCAGGTTTCATCTATAGTCTGTCCATTAAATTGTCTGCGTTTAGCTTCAAATGGCGTCTTTGATGACAGTATTCTGTAAAAATGATTTGCATTCCGATTCTGACATCCAAAGGCACAACAATACATTTTTTGTCCGTTCGCCGGACAATTTGCATTTGCACCCCTTAAGGACGGCCCTGTAGATACATAAGTAGTAAGTAATACTAAAGTAGCATCACCACCCAAAAAAATGATGTTTTCCCCATGTCAAATATATAGCATTTAAAGCAAGACCTCTTTCCCTCTCGTCTCGTTCTCTTTCTCTTTTCCTCTCTGAAAGGGCCCGAGTGTTGTCGAGATGTGAGAGGAGCAGAATAACCAGATGCTTTCCGCTCTTCAATGCTTCTGTGCCACTGGAGGAATTAGGGATTCACAGATCTTTGTCCTATTTGTCAGGAAGTGGAGGGGAAGGAAAGAGACGGAGGGAGAGGAGCGATGCTGTACTATAACAGCTGCGCCACCGCGCCGCATGAAACAAGAGGGCCAGCCATCCTGGGACGAGGCAGCCGTGCGCTCCACTACTGAACCTCTGCTTTCATCAGACTTACACAACACATGGTGCGCTGCAGGGCCATGTCAGCTAGTGACAGCTGCAGAACAGGCTCTGTGTGTGTGTGTGTGTGTGTGTGTGTGCTGCTATACTTGGGCAGAATGCACTGAGACAGATATATGAGATCCCTGCTTTTAATCACAGTATGGTATTTATATATTAGTCATTTTGCATGCAAATGCAGTAGCTGGAGGTGCAGTGATTATATAGGAGAAGTTACATAGCCAATTTTAAACGCTTGGCTTCATAGGCATGATTCCACACTGAAAAAAATGATACTGCATTTTTTTTAAGGTAAGTGGTTGCAAACAATTAATTTTAGCTACATGTAAATAAATTTTTTTTTTTTGAAAGTTAGTCAACTAAATTTGTTTATTTAAATGTAGCTAAAATAAATTGATTGGAACAACTTACCTTAAAAACAATTCAATTAATTTTTTTTTTTCAGTGCACATAGAGCAAATGTGTGATCTCATTGACCATTGCTCTGCGAATTAATTTAAAATAAAAACTGCAAACACTGTAAATTATGTGCTTTAGGTATGGAAATTACATATGTTGAGTTTTGATATTTGGGATATGGTCATTGCGCTACTTTGGGCTGACTATTTGGCTAGTTTTGTAACGCAGATCTGGCAACCCTGGCTGTACGGAGCAGAGCAAACGCTTTCAGATTAGGATTGTAGACCAACACTGACTACTGCTTAGTGTTTATGTAACTCCATAATTTTTGTATTGGGCCAAATCCGCACTATATTTCTTTTGACCGCCCACTCCCAAAGGTAGAAGCGCCCGTGAGCTCTGCGCAGAGAATTGGCAGACAAAACGCGTGCAAATGACAGACTTTCACTCTATGATGGTTAAATGTATAGCAATTAATCTGCAAATCACATACGTGCCCAACCGTGGGGTTTGGTCGGTGCAGATAATGTTGTAAATAATGCTCAGTTTCTTGCACAGACTGATCGTTTTGCTTCATAAGACCTCAATATATCGTCAGGCGCCTCGGGTGTTAATCAATTTTGTGTTCCTTGATATGCTCTTTATTTTTATTCTCAAAAACGGGCAGCCGCTAACTTGCATTTTGTGAATCATCAACAAGCACTGTTTCAGCTAAAAATCTTTACTGAAGAAAACAAGTCACCTATACCTTGGCTGGCCTGACGGTGAGTGAATTAACAGCACATTTTTATTTTTGGGAGAACTGTCCCTTTAAGTGGTTCTCGCTATAAGGCAACATCTCTCTTGCTCCTAACTATTAACATACATCAAGATGTCCCATTCATTTGTGCCACAGACTGATACTTTAAATTGGTGTGCTATTATTTTTACAATAAGGACCCATTAGTTATTGTTAATAATGCATTAACAAACAATGATAAATACATGTGTTACGTTTTTTGTGTTTTATTGTTTATTACATTGTTTTATTATTATTTGTTATTTATTCATCTCTGGTAATGTTAGTTAACAAAAATACAGCTATTCATTGTTAGTTCATGTTAGCTCAAGTCCATTAAATAATATTCACATACAAGTTTTGATTGATTTTAATAATGTGTCAGTAAATGGTGAAACATTTAGATTAAAAATGCTCATTTTTAATTGATACTTCATGTTAACTAATGCAGTTAAATGGAAACGTATTCTAAAGTGTGGCCACTTTTCCTTTCCACGTTTTGACTTTTAGTTTTAAAATAAATAAACCCAAAAAATGCGGTAGACTTACATTGAATTGACCAGAATATCTCCTTTGATTTGGGTCACCAACCAAGACTTGACAAACCTTATCAATTTTGCACTTGTAATATATTTAGCATGGGCTGAGTGGAGGTAATAGACAGGATTGTAATTGTTGTACTCGTGTCAGGTAAAATGACACAGTCTCTATGATACTGCTGGAAATGGTAACGTCAGCCTGCAGACAAGTTTGTCTGCATTACATGAGCACATGCACATTCCTGTCACCTGAGAGCATCTCCACTCCTGATTATTGTGTTTGTTCCTTCATGAACTTTTGAATGCTACTCATATAATCACTGGCTGACTAATAATAGTAAAGTCATTAAACTGTGAAATGAAAATGGAATTATGGGAATTATGATTAAAATATTAAACAAACTCAAACTATATATATTAGTGCTGTCAAACGATTTATCGCATCCAAAATAAAAGTTATTGTTTACGTAATATAAGTGTGTGTACTGTGTATATTTATTATTGATCAAAAATACAGAAAAAAACAGTAATATTGTAAAATATTATTATAATTGAAATAACAGTGTTCTATTTTAATATACTTTAAAATGTAATTTATATCTGTGATCAAAGCTGAATTTTCAGAGTTATTTTAAATTGCAATAATATTTCACAATTTTACAGTTTTTTTTTTCTGTATTTCTGATCAAATAAATGCAGCCCTGATTAGCATAAGAGACTTCTTTAAAAAACATGAAAATGCTTACTGATCCCAAACTTTTGAACAGCAGTGTATATATATATATATATATATA